CCTTGCGCTTGCCAGGGAAGTGCTTATTCCACTAAACCATCTCCCTGGCCCTGCTGTCTTGTCTTTGTCAGTTCTTTGTGTTTCCATTCTTTTGCCTTCCTTCGTATGTCATACACACAGAGGTACCACTCAACTTTTTACAAAGTGTCATCAAAATACTTTTCCCTGTCCTAGGTCAAGAGCCTAGTCCAGTTAGCTACCAGCATTGCCAAAGCAATATATCTGGTGAGGGAGTACAGTCCCCCTTGGACTCACCATGTTCAGTACACAGCCCCAGCCCCATCTAACCCATCTCTCACTCTGCCATTATCACCCTAACTTCTCCTAAGTGTTTGCATCATTTTCGTTAAATGCATGAAATGTCAGTGACCAGCCTTGGTCCTTACACTTGCTTTGGAAACCTTTAGTGTCAAACTCTTTAAGGTGTTTGTGTGTCTCTTTTTTGAGGTACCAGTAATTATTTACTGTATAGAAATTATTCATGTGATCAGCAAGAAACCTTGTTTTGACCTTTATAATCTAAGCATATCATTTATTGAGTGTATTCTCAATCTCTTCCCCACCCACTCTTTTTTTTTTTTTTTTTTTTTTTTTTTTTTTTTTTTTTTGAGATGAGGTCTCACTATATAACCCAGGCTTGCTTTAAACCTGAGATCCTCCTGCCTTAGCCTCCCAGGTATTAGGAGTATGGTCATGTGCCACCAAACCTGCTCATCATCTCTTGCTTGGGTACTCTACCTCTGAGCTACATCTCAGCTCTTAAAAAAAGAAAGAAAGAAAATTGAGGGAGAGTCTTACTAAGTGACCCAGGCTGGCCTTGAACTTGAGGTACTTTTGTCTCATCCCACTGGGTGCTTGAGCATATAGTCTACATCTTTTTAGCTCTCAGATGAGTTGGTCTGGAAAGCTTAACTCTTCATGTGATTTTATAGCACAAAGTCTGCATGTCTTACTTTTCTACTGTTGACTCTGCTGCTGATTTTGGACAACTGTGGTCAGCTGTTATTCCATAATTCTTTGACCATGAATATCTTTCATGAGTATTTGTTGATGGTGCTGTTATGTTTTTAGTTGAACTTTGACAACAAATAATTGGCCCTATGGCCAGCTAGTACTTTGGAGGACTCTTCTGTCTTCCTTTTGCTTTATACCCAGGTCATTACCAACTCCCTAACTTCTACCTTTAAACAAAACCCATCCCATTTTATAAGCTAGAAAAGGTAGTGTAGTTATAACCAATTTTGGTCACAGATCCAAAGTAAAGGCCTTAGAAAGACTAGAGTCAGATTTGCTAAGTTTTTCACTTATGTCTCTCAATGAGAGCATTGCAGTTATGCCTCATCTGCTGAGCTTCCTGTACTCCTGGTGGTGGTCTTTGCCTATGTTCCACCACTTGGATCTTTCCTTTGTCCTTTCTTTTGTATTCTCAGGCATTGAACTCAGGACTAGGACCTCATGCATGCTGGACCAGTGCTCTGCCACTGAGCTACCGCCTGACTCTCTCTTCCTCTTTATTTAGACTCAGAAGTGAAAAGTTTGCTTTGAACTTGAGTCCCCAAGCCCCCTATAAAAAGAATCTGGGGAGGACCAAGGTGCCTAGATTGGATAAGGGCCTTTTACTGTCTCCTAAGTTTCTGCTGTGGCCCAAGTCCTTCTTTGCCACTCTCTGCTGTTCCTCCTCAATGTGTCTATCATTCACACTTCAGGTTTTATGTCAGATTTTTGGTAGGAATGAAGTGTCTGGTTACATGGGTCACTGCATCTAAAGAACTGTGGATGATTGGTCAGATGAAAGGAAATGTAAACAAATTCTAGAAAGTTTTCCAATGTAGGTTGGTGGGAAGTTCTGTTGCCTATTTCCTTTGCCTAGAAATGGGCAAGTCCAAGTCAATGCTAAAGTCCGTATACCTCCTGTAGTGTTGCCTGCAAGGGAGTCTCTCAGGCCTCTGTTGTAATGCATTTGTTCCCTTCCATTTTTCCTCCTTAGGCACTGCAAGTGGCAAGGCAGCTACTCCTTCAACAGCAACAGCAGCAGCAGCAGCAGCAGCAGCAAGTTAGTGGATTAAAATCCCCTAAGAGGAATGACAAACAGCCAGCTCTTCAGGTAACAACCCCCATCCCCATTGACATTATTCCCTTTGGGCGAACTGATAAGTAGTTCAACCGTGTGTTGAGAATTGCAAATCACGGAAGAAAAAATATTATAAAACATACATTTTAAGGTTACCAACAAACTGAGACATTTTTAGGAAAATGTCTGTCTGATCAAAACTTTTGCTGTTGGGAGTACGAAGATCTGCTAATTATACAACATAATAGAAGGATGAGGAGCTGCCAGTGTTAGGCTGCTTAACATGAAGTGTAGGTTACCAATGGAGAAAAGATCCTTGAGCTCAGACACATCATGGCAGTCTCCCATGATGGGACTGAGAATGGGATGCACACACCTTACTCTTAGGACAGGGATGCTTTGGATCCCAGGGAACAAGTGAACAATTTCTGGAGAGATGTTTTTGTGTTAGCACATACTCATTGTACATATTAATTTACTCACGGCAATGCTCTTCTACTTGTATACAGTATGCATTTACCATATCCAAGCATTCTTCTTCCACATGATATCCTTTTCAGTCCCCAGTAATCACACTCCTACTTGCAGGTTAATTTTCTTATAGTTTCCGCAAGTGAGAAAGAATGTATAGTACTTGTCTTTCTGGGTCTGGCAAATTTCACTTAATGTAAAGTATTCCATTTCCATTGCCTTTGATACAAAATAATAGGAGTTCATTCTTCCTTATGGCTGAGAAATATCCCATTGTGCATGTGCATACCGCATTTATTTATCCATTCCCTGTTGATGGGCACCTAGGCTGATTTCATATGCTGCACAGTATGAAGAGTGACATGGTAAATATGGACGTACAGGTGTCTCTTCGGTGTACTTATTTCATTTCTTTTGGAAACTGGATCTGTTTTTGGTTTCATAAGGAACCTCCACTCTAGTCTCTTTAGTGGCTGCACTGATTTCTGTTCCTCCCTATTCCTTATGTTCCTACCTACTCCTGTCTCTTTTCTGGCCATATTTTTGATGGTCGTAACTTGGGAAGGGGACCAAGACATCAGTGCTGCTCTGTCTTGAAGGTATAGTCCAGAGATGTTGCTGTTCGTGTGTAAGACGGTCCCACAGAACATTGCTTCATTTAGCAACGCACAGTGTTCGTAGCATCAAGCACTCTTATTGGGCCTGAGAAGATATGACACTTTTAATGTCGTATCTAGTAATGAGTATAAAACACATCCTCTTTCTAAGTCCTTCTAAAGTCTTTCCAAGTCTAACTTATTAAAAATGAAGAGCACTATTTTTGAAAGACAACAGTAAGACAGTTTTATCAACTTCTCATTTTAAGCATATTGAGGCTAACGGGTTAATGGAGTGGAGGAAAGAAGGATTTTATAGAAATCTAATTTGGAATTTTGATTTGGAGTAGAATATTGTACAGGAAATTTCAAGGAAACTTGACCAAAGGTATTGATGCTCACATCTAGATAGGACACTTGCATGGACCAGGTAGGTTATAATCCCTTCATAGCTGAAGATTGAATCTCTGAAAGACCAGACTAGTGAGACATTCCTTACATGGGAAATTTTAGAACATAATTTGTTAATGGTAGCAAATGGGTAGAACTTGGTAACCGTTAATTGGACCAGGAGATCAACCTAAATTCTAGCTGTGTTGACCTTTCACAGGTCAAGAAAAGCTAATCTTAGTTTCCAAATTATTCTGCAAAGATCACATCAATCTTGGGCAGCAAGTTCTAATTTTTCTATATCTACTAGGGAAGCTTTCTCACTCTAAGGAAAGTTCAACACTGTTGTGCCACTTGATTGGCAAAGTTGGACGACAGTGGACATTGCTTACAGACAATTCCAAAACTAGTTGTTTGGTAAACCAGGGCCAGTGTGCTTGCCTTTGAATGTGTGTGAGTGCAGGGGACATTTTTAATGAGGTACAGTGCCGTGGAAGGCCCATGTCAGGTGCTGTAAGAAGTGCTTTGTTGTGCAGATGTCTTAAGAACAGCTCTGGAGGATGAAATATGACTGTGTTGACCTTTCAGCTGTGAGCTTATTTGTCAGGATTCAAATAAGTTGAAAGGATCAAACTGAACAGTTTCCCTAGTCAGACTGAGAATTGTGTTTCAGAGGTCAGCAGTGGAGGCCACATTGCAGATTCCATAACATAGCCAATTGTTGGTACATACTGAAGTACTGGGGCATCTCCTACAGACAGAGATGCAATTAAAATTCTAATTTATTAATGTATACAGGGAGTCAGCCCAGCCTGTCACTCAGTGATTCAAATGACTGTCCATTCTTTTTGCTCTTGAAGCTCTCCCAGCCTAAAAAATACTATGAATCCTGTTGAATTGAACAGACCTCAAGTGCATTGGAAAAATGACAATCTATTATTGGGGGAAAATCTTACACATAGTAGAGCTTTGGTTAGAGATTAAAAAAAAAAATACACACATACACAATCTGTCTGATCACATTACTCTTCAGCATTGAATATCATTTGTGATTTTTTTTTTATACTAGACTTACTTTTCCCCATACTTGCTTTTTTAAAACATATGGCATTTTTAGGTAACTTCTTCTCCAAGATGAACGAAGTTCCTTTAGGGCTAAATATATGAATTGAAGTTTCAGGGGATTTCCTTTTGAGGGCTCAGTTTTTCCTTGCCTGTTAGAGGATTTTAGCCACTAAGCAGAAGAGTATGTGACAGAGAGAGCTTTGTATTTCCTGGCAAGGACAGTGTCGAAGCCAGCCTAACACATTCTGCTCAGTGCTTCAGGCTGCATGGGGTGGAGGGAGAGGGGGCAATCTTGTACCCTGATTTTGTTAAAGAAAATATCTTAAATTCTCTCTATCCCCTAAGTCTGGAGTTGATGAGCAGAGAATTTAGACTTGCCTTAGAGTTGGCTGCATGGGATGGGAGAGAAGAGGCTGGCTGACGTGTGTGCGCGCACGTGTGTGCCTGTGAGAGACTGACTATTGTAAATTCAGTAGGATTTATTAATTTGGCCAAGCCTTCCACAAACAGAAAAGAGAAATTACTAACCTCGGCCACATGGTACCATGGTGTATTACCTCGTTATAAAAAATATGTATATAATGGTGGTGCTTCGCAGAAGCGATAACCTTCACATTGAGATCTGTCTCCATGTCTTGTCCTCGCTGAGGCATCTCAGCTGGAGTGGCTCTGAAATGAAAGGGAAATCCTGCAGCAAATCTGCACAGTGTTCATCTCTGATCTTCTTACCCTTTATAACTACACTGAGAAACCTATTTTAGCAAATTTCAGATCTTCTGCATAGAGGAAGGCTTGACAGGGAAGAAGGATTTGATCTGCTGATAGCTTGAGGGGAAAAAAAAAAACCCTAAATCCCCAAATATACTGTGGCTCATATTTTAAGCATATCTCACACTTCCCTGCTTTATGTTTGGCAGCGCTCTCCAGTTTCACAGGCTGATGATACAAACAAAGGAAAATGGAAAGTTAGAGGAGGCTCTAAGTGGTTACTCGATAGAGATCATAAACTGTAGTCAAACATCACCAATTTGGATTAATTTCAGAGAGAGGAGAGTAAATAGGAGAGAAATGATGCTATTTGCAGATTCTGAACCAGATCTGAGCTGCTTGCTTTCTTATGGCTTATTCATGAAAAAGACATTAATCAGGTGTAGATAATAGTTTCTGAAGTTCTAGAAAAATATTCTGAGTAACTGCATTTCCTTCTTGCTTAACCTATTAATTTGCTTTGCAAATCTTTTTATAAGTGATACAAACAAAAATTGAAAATTAATCACATCCTAAATTCTGAATCTGAAGATCTGAATTAATTAAATGCAATTTTGGTGAACGTTCCAGAGCAGCTCCAGCATGCTGAGCATTTACACTGGTGGTGATAGAGCCAGACCCGTGCAGGATATAGACCTTACCTTCAGGATGCTCATGAGTTGTAAAAGAATTAACAGGTTTTGCTGGGGGAAAAATTATAGGTGGGTAAAAATAGTAGGCTTTTTTATAAATATTTATATACTTCTGAAGATTGCTTAAACAAGTGAAATAAATGCTTAAAGGTGCAGGTGTGCTCATAACCCTGAAAATGTGTAACTTTACTGGCTGAAGATTAATTTGTGAGTAGATGAGCAATTTTATTGATCAAATTTTGGAACTTTGACCACCATTTCTGGGTAGTAATTCATTTTGGTTCTTTAAGCATTTTAGTTGTTGGCACGAGTATATAAACTGGAAGGAAATCAAATGACACATTTTCTCCTAAGAAAGTAAAAGTACATGTGTATTCTGGCAGCCTGAACATTAGGAAAGAAACTAAACCTTGCATGTTGCTTCCAGTGGAAAGCTGACCACAGCTTCAGGCTGCCATCTCTAAAGAACTTGAGTTTGATGCTGGTCATCTGAGCATCCTTCCAAGGTTGGGTCCTACACCAGGCTTCTAGCTCTGGAGGCCCTTGCACTGGGGGGCCCTGTACTGAAACCCACTGGAAGATGAGCCTTTTCCTCTGTGTGGGAGCTAGGATTGTAAAGATGACTCCTGCTTTAAGTGGAGGAGGTTAAAATACAAGATTCAGCAGGTGTTTTTTAGCGTTTTTATTTGCAGTTATATAAAATGTGCTTTAGGCAGCATTTTTGCATTGCATTAATGCCACATATAATCTTAGTGCCTCATATCATTTCCACGTTATTCACTAAGGAATAAATTGCTAAGAGGAAGCCTTTAAAAGAAACTACAATTTTATATTATAGGTAGTGAACAGCTTTGAAATACTGACCCTTAAAACACACTGTGTACTGACTATGCACCAAATTAATAAGGTAGGTAATTCAGGGAAGGGAGGCAAAAGAATGGGGGGGGGTTGCGGGGACTAGGAATCCAACACAGGGGGCAAAATTTTTTTTAAGTATCCAAAGTTAAGGACTGAGGAGATAGCTCAGTAGAATAAGTGCCTGCCTGGCAAGCACAAGGTCCTGAGTTCCATTCCCAGTACCACAAAAAAAAAAAAAAAAAAAAAAGAGTAT